TTTTTTTATTTTGCTTTGACAAGCACCTTTTCTCCTATAATTATTTTCATCAATTAAGCGCTTTCAATATTCTTACATATATGACAGTCTATAAATAGTTATACAAGAACAAATCGAACTGTGTCTCCTTCGATTCAAGGAAACGAGTTGATTATTTTATTAATAATAAAGAGTCCCATTCAAACTTTGTTGCTATTATGAATAGGATAAACAAATACTGCATTGAAGTATTATTATTATTAATAAGTTTACTAAACAAATGTAGTCAGTTGACAAGTAAGAAGAACATATAAATATATAGAGAGAGAGAAAGAGAGCGATCTAATGATAAATGTTTAGTAGTTTTCATGACAAAAAAAAAATCGGAATAAATTCAATTACTCCTATCATATTGATAAACGTTGAACAAACTAATGTTATTTTAAATGCTTGAACTCATGTCATTCATACAATGACTTATTAACTTCTTTGCAAATCATGTAGAACTTGAAATATTCTGACTATTGACTTTTAATCTAATTAGTTCTAAAAATTTGTTTATAGTTCATCAATAATTGAATTTATTTTGTTTGATTCTTTTTCTTGTCATTAGCATAAAGATAAGGATTGAAAATTATCAATATAGGTCGATTCATATATTTTTGCTTTTCTGAAGTGTCAATTGATTACATTTGTTTAATAAATTCAATAATAATATTCCAAAAAAAACAGACGTTATATTTATCTTTCTTATATTAAAAAAAAACAAATTTTGAATAGGTCTCTTATGATCAATACAAAAAACAATCAAGGCATTTCATTATATATTGAAAGAAATTTATTTTAATTTATTTTTGTATAGTTATTTATAGATTATTCCATATATATATATATATTGAAACTATTCGATCATAGTTATATAAGAAATAGAATAACAATATGATATAGTAGTGAGAATACTCTAAATAACAACTGTGCGTATGTGTATGTCTTTTTTGTAGTGGTAAAGGTCACAACAGATGCTACTTAGAAAATTAATCGATTGTGAAAAAAAAAATGACTCAATTGAATTTTTTTGTATTCAATTTCTATAATTAATTTCTATGGATGATGATGATGATGAATTTTTAATGATAGTTATGCAAAGAATTCTATTTGTCAATTATCTGCTTTTTAGGTTATTTAATATGTCAAGAAGAAAAAAAAAACTAAGATTAATAGTGAGAATAAGAAAATAATTCTAAGAATAAAACAGATGGTCCCATCAATATTGATTTTTTGTATACCAGTCATTTTATGTTTAATAATAATTATGTCTTGCTTGAATATAAATCATTATATTCTATTTAATTTTGTTTTTCTTCAATATTCAATAGAAAGAGAGAGAGAGAGAGAAAGTTAATTATTAGTTTTTGTTTTTTCATCGAATATTTATAAGATTTTCTGAATTGTCTAAAGAATTATTTTTACTGTCAAGTATATCTCAAAGGGATTGGAAAAAATAAATTTCTTTTTTCATTAGTTTTATTTCCTTTAGAGAAATATTATTATATAAGCATGAATATTTACAAAGTTATTCGAACGAGATTTCTCAAAATACACCAAGCTCGGCATATGCCCTAGTGGAATAGAAACATATTGTCCATTTATATTTTCTATTGATTACACATTTAACGATGTCTAGATTTCGCTGATAAATAAAAGTACATATATATATATTCATTGATTCATAGAAACCTTGAAATAAGATTATTAAAATTACAATGATATCCGAATAAATATCCTGTGGAATCGTTTCACGTAGTGATTAGGCGTGTTTTTTTTTCATTTATCTGTATTAATAAGGACTAAAATATTTATTTTTGATTAAGGCGGAGCTCAAAATCAATATTATCTTATATATATTCATCTGACACATAAAAATTGAATATATATAAATATGTCAATCTAACTGCTTATAAATAAAATTTTGTCTCCAAATAATACATTACTGAGATAATGTGAGCAAAGGAAAAAAGGTATAAATACATCTGATAACAATAGAGAAAAATTAACTCGTAGATAATTGTGGTCCTAAACGACAAGGTCGACATTTTCCAAGACCATATCGCCAAGCTTTTTCAATTGGTATAAGTTGATGATTAACAATATAAAATTGATAAGTATTTGTTGATATTCGATAAACAAAATCATCATCATTATCTTGAGCATTAGCATGATGTAAACGAAAATATAAAAGTTTATTTAAATATAATGGACCTAATGTTATATGTCCATGATAAGTAATTTGTCCTAAATTATATTTATTTGATTGTGGTTTATATCGAAATGTAAATGTTGCATTTTGTTCTTTATTATCTCCATTATATTGTCTAAATTCATTTATTGATATATTCGATAAAATTTTTTTTTCATTATCAATTTTAAAACATTGATTTGGTGTTCGATCTAATAATGATCTTTCAAAACAAATATATGGTAATTTAAATACTAAATGAACTGTTGTTTTTCTATTTGCCATAATATAATCAATTTCAGCTAATTTCATATAAGAATTTTCATATTCTGTATCTGGCCAAGGTAAATAAATACCTGTACGAACAATATATTTTGTATATAAATATTTATCATATACATGTAAATTATGTATTGAACCAGGTATATCTATATAAGTTTCATAACGACGATGATGAATAAATAAAACAGCAATCATTATTGATAAACCTAAATTAAGTATCCAAACTGGTATTAAAAAAATTGGAAAACAAATATATAAACGTTTAGCTCGACACCAATTTGGTATATCATTTGATTTAATATCATTATGTAAAAATGTATAAAGATTATTTAATTTCCATATAGTAACAAATATTGAAAATATTGCTTTAAATAATGATGACATTTTAAACCAACCATCATGACATAAATTTATATAAAAAATAATTATTATTTGTGGAATTTCTTTTGCTATAGCCCATAATAAATCAATTGTATATGAACGAACACGAAGACATTCTTCAGCTTTTAAACAACCACAACAAACAATTAAAAGAATTAATTGTATACAAGCAATAATTATACCAATTGATGTAAAAAATGAATATCTATAAAGAAAATCTATATTAATAATATAAAGAATAAATTTATCTTACGTTGGTAATATCCATCCTTCTAATTCACAATAAACAAGACCACTTTTAATACCACGATTTTCATTAATAAAATATCCATCAAGTATTAATGACCAAATTAATATAATTAAATTCATTACAACACTTTGCATACACACTCGACATGAGACCATATTTTTATTTTGTAAATTATCAACTAAAATAGAAATAAATATTAAAATTATTTACTAATAATTGAGAGATAAATGATCAAAAGTTCATTGTATTCAATTAAATATAAATAGAGAATTATTATTTTAAACCCTATTTTTGAATTAAATAAAAATTTTCTTTTAGTTACATACTCTTGAGACTATTTGTTAACTCGAGAAGTGTTCGATGGTTGCCAGGATTTATCCGGCAAAGATCAACTCTTCACTTTTGCGTAGTGCCAGATGGGCTCTGGTAAAATGCTTTAGGACTAGTCATCTAATGAGTGTTTCACAATGACTTCGAAAACAACAATTGAAGAACCTATTCCTTCTTTTTTGTCACCTATTCGCGATTGAATGATGATGATTGGATTTAGGGGGAGTGGAATATTTTTCAACACCGACGAGGTCATCCCAGGTTAATCATTCGTTGTTATTCTAGGATCAAAGTAAAGTCTCTTGATAGGTTTTTTTAATGCAGTACTACATTAACATTTGATTTTTCGGATTATTCTTTTTTGTTAATCTCGAGTTCTTTTTTTTTTTTTGCTGGTGTAAAATATTCTTAGCATAAATTATGAATATATTTAAAAGTTAAAACATAAAACTACGAGTCCGCATGAACTTCATAGCAGCTATGATGTGACCGACATTATTTTTCTTTCTACTGAAATTGTTTTACAATTATTTTTCCTAATAAATTCATTTTTATATTAATTATTATTTATATTTTCTTTACATAAACCTTCTTTTGATAAAAACCAACCTTTCATTGGTTTAAGTTATGTGTTTTTTTTTCCTTGACATTAGCGAAAGGAACTGAAAAGAGAACAGCTTCACCTTTGTGTTACTAAACAAGGACACTACAACAAACAAACAAAAAAGAGTTCATTAAAATAGAATAAAAATCAATTGTCAATCTGTAAAAAGATTTTTGTATATTTAACAGATATTTAAAATATAATTTTACTTATTCTTTACTTTATAACGATTGCTTATAAATCGAAAGATTTCTTCGGTTTTTATATTAGTTATTATTCTTTTTTGAATAAAATAATAATCATAGAAACATTATTTAAATTTTCTGAATTAAAAGATATTTGTATATTTAGAATCAGATCTTATGTATAAATTTATTTTTTATTTCTATTTATAAAATGTTAAGTTAATGGATTATTCTATCGAAAAAAAAACCATATGTAAGGTTGTTGCTTGTTTTTGTATTTTAATTATATAAATTAGTATCAAAGAATGAAATATTAATGTTTTATTTTTTCAAAATCGATTTATTATTAAAATAAATTAAAATTCAAAACATATTATCTTACTTTAATTTATGAATAATTTTTCTCGTCCAAGAATCATCTAGTACAAGAACGAACAAAATACATTAATTCTATTGCTTCTTTTTTTCCACCAATTATTCATTATCATATAACCTCCCTAATGAAAATTTATTAAAACCTAATCTTGTAGCGTAATAATCAATTACTTTCATTTATTTTTTTCTCTATATTATTGACTATATGTTGTTGTTGTTTTTTTTCCTCTCTTACATATATATATATATCAAACAGCTGTTATTGTCTTTTAATGTTCGTTTGTTTTTTAAGTCAAATTTATGGTTAATATTGAATATTCCATTATTATGATCCGATCAAAAACCTGTTTATTATTTATTTAAAATTACAAAAGAATAATGAATACACCTTGTAGTCTTGAACATTGTCATACAAATTTATTTGCTTTGGTAATTACTATATAGTAAATATAAACTATAAAATTTATTTTATTATTTTTAGCAAAGTTTAAATGATATGAAATGGAAATGTTTTCGTCGAACAATAAATTATCGTTTAGAAACTAATCAAGTAGGTCGAATTGATAATTATAAAGATCCAGTTTTAATTGCATATTGGAATGCATTACATGCGGATATATTATGTTCATGGAGACGTGTATCAACAGATGATGGACAAAAAACTGAGAGAGAACTTTGGTTATTTGGTATTAATGAAGATCTTCCTTCAGATTTACCTAATTTAAGACGTAAGAATTTCAATAGGAATTTCAAAATATCATTTTTGTTGTTGTTGTTGTTGTTGTTTACAGCAATTAATCATTCACATGGATCATGGAATGAAAGTGCAATGTCATATGATTGTAGATCAATGTTATTTAAAGCATTACATAATATGATTGAAAAGTAAGATAAATTTTGAAGAAAATTATTATTATTATTATTATTATTAATTTGTTTTTGTTAGATATTTATTAGCAAAAGGTTTTGCTCGTTTGAATAAATGGTTTGTTTTACCAATTAATGATCATTCCGATGTTAAAGTGTATGTAGGAAGTGTGAATGTAAAAGATTTTTTATTAAAAAAAAAAATCTTCTATTTAATTTAGACCTAATTATTCGTTTAATTTTAATTTTTTTCTTCATGGTGATAATAAAGTATGTGCTAGTGTTGACGTTCAACGTCATGAACATGTATTTAATTTAACAAGTAAAGATCTTGAACGTACTTCACCATCAAATGGTATATACTAGATAATTTAATTTATTTTCTTTTTAAATTTTATAATAATTTTGATGTTTAGTTATTTTGGCACCATATGGTATTAATGGAATGCTTATTGGTCATGTTAGTAGAGAAATAGATATGAATATTTGCCGTGAAAGTTGGGAAAAAAGTTATCCAATTCGTCATTTAGATGGTTTACCTGATTTTGTTGAAGTTACAACAGGTATATTGAATTTTGTAATCTTTGAATAAAAGAAAAACATAGAGACAAACTTTAGAATTATTAGAATATTTTTGATTATGAATAGATTTCAATAATACTAAGAGAATAGATTTATAGAATTTTTTACAATCTTTTATAGTTAAAATATGACGAAAAAACTATTTTTAACAAAACTAATTGGATTTTTGGTCATCAATCAAGTTGACTTTCGGATACAGGCATGAAAAATTTTCTAAAACTATTATAGAGTGATTTTTTAAAGTAACAAAAACTTCGTCGGAACTTTTTATTTTTGATCTATCCAATTTATAGAGCATAACGAATTGTCTATTAAAAAAAATAAGTAACTTTCCGTTTTACATAAATGAAGCTCAAATAGAATAATCTAAACTTTGATGTTTTCACATTACAATGTGAAAATGGGCAACAATGTAGAGATTTGATGAAAAAAAAACGAAAAAGTGATATTTTTCGTGATGTTTAATAGGTTTTTGCTAATAACTGACTTTTTTTGGTAAACAATTTATTCTAGCTATTTAAGACACTTGAAAAGTCTTAGACTCAATAAAATAGCGAAATTTCTGTCATCTTAGAGAAGCGTATCTTTTTCCAAAGAAAGATTCTAAGGAATAAATTATATAGATTGCAACAGTAAAGCTCTTGCTCTATCGTTCCCTAATGGAAAAAAGTAATTATTCTTTGCCAACTAAGGATTTTATAAAAAAAAAAAAACTTGTCCAATACATTGCGTGCACACACTTTAATACAACCCCCAACTGTACGAAACTTGCACAGAATGTTTTTCTCTACCTACTACACCTATTCAGTTAGCGTAATGATGCCTAAATACTTTAGGTTTTTCAAAGTTTTTTTTGGCTTCTAGAATACTTTTAAAGAAAATTGATCACATATTCAGAAACAGCAAAAAAAAATTTGTATCGTACGATGTAAATATTTTCGGAAAACTTTAGTCTACGAGTCCCACTTAATGAATTTTCATTAAAAACTTTTTTCAGTTTACTAACAATTAAAATCATATTAATGCAATTTTGACAGAAAATAAATCATATCTAGGTACTTTGTAGAAAATACTCACTGTATACTGATATTCAAATGCTTATATTTTTTATCAAAACAAAAAAACAAAGAATTAGAAATAGAAAAGGTTATTTCGACATATTAGGTACTCTGGACAAATCAAAAAAATTTTTTATAGAACAACTTATTCTACTCGAAAACTTCCTTTTTTCTACAGGGTAATTCATAAGTAGCTTTTCGGTAGAAAATTTCACTTAATAATGCCAATTCTTTTTTTTCTCTGACAAAGGAGACTTTAGAATGGTTTTTTTTATTGGATTTTCATGACCTTACAGGTCGTAGAGTATATATACAATGTTAAAGTGTATTTATTCAGAGTCTTTATAAAAACAAGTACCAGCAAGGATAATCAAAGTGACTCTCGCTTTCACTTCATTGCACTTAGGAAAAGATAGTATATCTACATTGGTAGTGAGAGAGAAGAAAAAAAAAACATAATGAAACACATGACGAATGTATGCACACATAAATCTGAATATGATCATCTTCAACATTATAAAAGATTGAAATTTATTATCGAAGTCATTGATAATATTTTTAAGCAATATTTATAAATGTCGTTTTTATTGAAAAAAGAAAACTTTAAAATCTTCTCTATCGCATAAAAGAAATTTAACCTCATAGAAAGTGAAGATATTCAAATTTTCTATCGTAAAGCTACTCCATAGGATACCACACAGGAAAAAAAAAATTTCTGCTAAAACCGCTATTTTAATTAACCGCGAAAATCAAATTGTTTATGCGCCTACACACACTCAGGTGAAAACTACGATGAGAACAAAGACAAGTATGTACCAACGAAAATATTTTACAACTTGAATCGCGATTTTTCTGTGGACAATCTGCAGACGAGGAGGAAACAACAGAAGCTTTAGTTTTGAACTCTTCTGCGGATGGGAAAGCAGCAGACTTCAAGACTGAAGCTTTTGCTGTTTCTCCATTCATTTGTAGATATCTGACAAAGTTGCTTATGTCCATATTCGGAATTTCTATAATTGATAATCTAATAATTCAGTAACTTTTGTTGAAAAACAATTTCTTCATGTGTATAAATAGAAGTAGAAGAAGAAAAAGTTGTTTTTTTTTTATTTCGAAGGTAATGCTCGAATGTTCTATCCAACATGTTATGTATATAAAATTGGCTCAAATGATGAATCAACAACAAATAATGAAAATACTTCAACAAATAAAAAATCTAATACATCCATAACAAAAAAACCAAAATCAACAGCAACAACAACAACAACAACAACAACAACATCAATAAATACATCTTTAGATATAACATCAAATAAAAATAAAATTGATAATTCTTTTATAAAAAAATTTGCTAATAATTTATTAGTTGCAACTCAACGAAATAGTTGTATTGATCTTGAAAAAAAGTAAAATTTTCAAAAACAAAAACAAAAACAAAAAATTAAATCTATAAAAATTCTTTATTTTCTAGACAAGATAATCAACAAAATGATATATGTTTAACAATTAATGATCCAGTTAATCATCATTTATGTCAATGTAATCAAACTTTATCAATAAATACACGTTCATCACCATTTATTCCATTTCATCGTCGTCCTCGTACAACATCTCCTATTACGTCTGATTCATCCATTCGAAATAAAATTGATACAATTAAAACAGAAAATTCTTCATCAGAATCAATTGAAAATCATGATACTCTAATCGAATCAACATCATCTTCAATAGTAACAACTAATACTCAATTAACAACTAATGAAAAACCAGCTGATTGGACAGCATCAACACCAAATAGTGTAGGTATTACAGGTCCCCCATCAGTACTTACTTCAATTACGAATCAAAATTCTACTACAATAAATTCTCCAGCACCAAATCCAATATCAACACGTGGTATTAAACGTTCAGCAGCAAAAGCATTGGATGAAACATATATTGAAGATGATGAATCAGAACAACAAAAACAAACATATGATTTTTATCGAACTGATTCATTGTAAGATTTAATTTCTATTTAAATTTTCTTTTTTTGATATTAATAATTATTTAAGTTTACAATTACCTTTAAAACGTTTTCGAGCTGATGATCAATTAAATTTGAATGAGTTTGAATCAACAATAGCAACTTGTGAACATGTTTATCAACATGGTCAACCTACACCTCCTAGTCCTAGTCAAATATCATTTCGTGTACGATGATTTTTGTTTTTGTTTTTTTTTTAATTTCTATATTTTCTTTATATTTTTAGTCTAATCTTGATTTTGATGATAATGAAGATTTAACATCACGAACAAATTATTTACTTTCAACATCAAATAATACTCGTTCATCAAATCAATCATCATTTTTTTTAACAGATGGACCATCAATGGCTGATCTTGAAACAATTATTGATTCACAATATACAATAGAAAATAAAAATACAAATACTCATTCACATAATATTTCTGATAATAATATTAAATCACCAAGTCGAAAAGAAAATATACTTCCACCACCGCCTCCTATTCCAAGTATATATATTAATAATGGTAGTATATATCCTGTCAATCGATCATTAAATGGAGGTTTGTTAGATTTAAAGGAGAGAGAGAGAGAGAGACTACCGACTAGGATTTATCTAACATATTTTAATTGTGAAGAGCTAGATAACCGTCTTCAGTTTAGTTTCTTTCTTTTGATAATAAGATATATATTGTGTTATCAAAAAGTAATTTAAGAAAATGTTCAAGGAAGTTGTAGAAATTTGACAGCATTGAATTAGTATCAGAAGTTCTTTTCAAGATTCATAAATTGACAGTGCGCTAAAATTTATCCAAAGTAGAAGCAAAAATTATTTCAAATAACGCAAATAAAAGAGCAATCATTAATGATAAGTTTACTGCAAGTCATTTGTCAATAGTGAGTATTTCGGATAAGAAACATCGTGTCAATTTAGTTCGTTCAAAACATAATTTTCACATGTCTAAAAGGTCGACTTGGACGAAGCTCAGTCTTCTTCTTCAGAACCGTTTGAGCTTCATCTAGAAATAAGACGATACAACAAAAAAATAGGTTCAATAAAATCATTTATTTAGTTCTTCATGAAATGGAACAAATCTATAATACACCACCAGGTTCATCATCATCAGAAAAACTTCAAGCATTACATTCTCCATATGGAATTATAATTGATACATCAATACATGTTGCAAATACATTTGATGCATTAAATCATTTTAGTCAAGAATCTATACTTGCACCATTTGAATCAAATTCTATTGCTGAACAATCATCTTATTATCCATTAAATAAATTTTCATTAAAAAAATTTCATAAACGTTATGAACCATCAAAATCATTATCAATAACAACATCAACATATCATAAAAATTTTCGAAATTGGAAACATACAATACCAATTAATGATATATCATCAAGTCCATTTAATAATAATCAACAAATTCTACGACAACAAACAACACCGCGTTCAATGCCAACACCAATACCAAATATTTATTCACCAATGCGTTCAAATGATTTACAATCATCACCATATCCTAATCGATCAATTAGTAGTGTTCAAACAATAAATAGTCCAATAAGTGGTATTATACCATCAATAATACCTGAAATTGATTCATTTATATTTAATATTTTACTTACTGATAGTATTTTAAATATATATCGTGATATTAATTTTGATTCATGTGTTTTATGTGCATGTAATTCAAATGATTTATCAATACATGGTATGGATTCAATAATATATTTAGAAAAACCACATGATAATATTAAATCTATACATTCACATATGTATACACATCAACAATCACCATATCAACATTCAACAATATATTCTCAACAACAACAACAACAACAACAACAATCAATATCATCAACAAATAATTCATGTTCATGTGGTTTTTCAGCTGTTGTGAATTTACGTTTAGGTTATTCATCTGGTTTATTTTATGAAGATGAAATTGAAATAACAGGAATTAAAGCTGATATTAAATATCGTCAATTAAATGATAATTTATCAATTAATTTATTAGAATTAATTGAAAAAAAACAATCGATATCATCACCATTTGATTATTTTAATAATCAAAATTTACAAAAACAAAATACTCAAGATATTTTACAAAAAACTTTAAAAGAACCATTTTATCAATGTAAGTTATTCATTTAATGAATTTATATTCATTCGAAATCTCATAAATTTGAATGTCATATCTATAGTAAACTGTTCTCGTATTTTCTGTATAGTTCGTATGATGTTTTGACTATTCATTTGTACCATCAACTTTATCAAATGTAGCTTTGTTATCCCAATATATTTTTTGAGAAAGTGTTTCATTTCCATTTATTTCATAATTTTCTCCTACAACTTCTTCATCTGATACATCAGTTTTATATTGTGCAACTTGTAGCATATTTATCTTTTTCACTCGGGAATTCTAAGCAGAAACCAAAAGAAAGAATAGAAACAACGAGTATTTACATGTATGTCGAACATAGTATCTATATCAACAAACATTCATTTAATTGACTGTTAATAAATTTTATAAATTGATCATTAAAAACGACTATAAGGTTTTTACTACAGTAGGATTGTAGAGAACCGACATATATTCCTTTCATTAATCAAAACCTTATATTGGTCTTTATAAACAAACCTGATTTATCACTAGCTGATTATTCAAGTCATTTACTGATTAAATATTTTGTTCTCATTATTTAACTTTATATTTCAGTTATGAATATATCTGTTTGAGACGGAAAAGTATTACAAATAGTTCAAATCTAGAGTCTATTCATATGTATTTATTTTTAACCTCATAATGGTATAGATAAGAACCAAAAGATGGAATAAACGGTATTAAGCCGTTAACATACATCCTCAGTTGATTCTAACGATGATCTTTTTCTTTTAATCTAATTAATATATTGTTTTTCTTATTATTATTATAATACATCGATCGAATATTTTCTTTTTGTCGATCTCTAACTAATATATAAATATTTAGATGAAAATTGGGCTTGTCGATTAGCTCTTGATCAAGCACGAAATAATGGTAATGGTTTAATAGTTGATGATATTGATAAACATCATTGGTTACATCAATGGTCATATTTAACATGTAAGCAAAAAGAAAATATTTATTGAAAATATTAATCTTATTTTTATTATTTTTTTTAGCACCACTTGATTCTGATCAACAATTAATAACTATGTTACGTTCATTACAACCATTATTAGTTGAAGCATTAAAAAAACGTAATGTTAATGGATTATGGAGTACAATTGATGGTCCATTAACATGGAAATCTTTTCATCAATTATTATATGTACAAAATCAACATGCACATCTTGAAGAACAAATAAGTGGACCACAACCAATACCATATATTCTTGCTGGTCTTGATCGTGAATGGATTATGTTAGCACCTTATGGTTTAAAATTTTGGGATAAATTATGTCTTGAACCATATTCAAAACGAAAAGATATTGGTTATATATGTATTGTACCTGATAATGATTATATATGTACAATGACAAAAATTTATTTTCGTGAATTATCTTCACATTATGAATTATGTCGATTAGGTTCACATAGACCTTTATTAAAAGCATTTTCAGATCAAGGACTTTTACGTATATCATCACAACAATGTAATGATTCATCACAACTTCCAAATGTTGATTCATGGTTTACTGATCATGAAACAACACATCCACTTGGCAGTCGATTAAAACTTTATGCTCAAATATTCAAAGATAAACTTCGTAAGAATTAATGAAAAAAAGAAAAAAGAAATCTTTCAAAATGTCTTATTACTCGATGATTAATTTATTTTAATTATAATATAGCTGATAATTTATCAAAAACAAAGATTCCATCGAAATTTGACTCATTAGGAATTATAGAGTAGAGCCTGCCAGACTAATTGGAATTGAATTAGTCCGTCCAAAAATATGAAATAATTTTTTCATTCGATGACTAACACATCCTACATATTTTTTAGACGACTAGAATCCATCGGATTCGGATTAACTTAATTTCAAACTGCATTTTGGAATATGAACTTTACTTTTCGACCAAATGACTAAGAATTTGATCCCAAATCTTTTTTTCTAGTTGTGACGCGCTTCCAGTAAAGTAAATCGTTGTTGATTTCACTTTTTCTTATTAAATTTCAAGATTTTGAGTTTGTTGTATTCCTAACAAGGACTCATCATAGACATAACCGCAAGATCAAAGTCTACTGTAATCGATTAATTGTAGGTATAAATTCATAAACCGAAACATATATTAATTAATCCTCTTTTATGCAATACCTATAGCTCTCCCATATTTATTATTCTCGTAGGGATTGCACTAACAGTTTTTTAATTCACTCAATTGTTCTCTCAAAATGATTCCTTAAAGAATCTTTAATATACATATTTTTATAATTAAAATAAACATTTCCTTCAAATTGAAAGTAAATCCTATTTTTTTTTTTTTTTTTTTGTATTATTTTCTAGTCAATATTCTCACCACACAATCATTCGATAATACATTATCAGATGATAGTACATCTCGTCGAGATGTATTTCGTAGTCCAAATGATATATCACCATCATCATCATCATCATTTGATCATTATTCAACGAACAATGATTTAATAATAAATACTGGGTGAGGCATAATAATTGACAACATTTCTTGTATTTTGCAAATTGTATTATCTTGATCTTTTAAAAATAAAAAAAGATCAATTTGTAAAATACTAAATTTTGTAATCATTATATCTCATTTGGTAATAATTACACATTTTTATTTTCATTAACTAGTGTTGCTGCAAATAGTATTTATACAACAGGATCACCAGCAAGTGATGCTCTTAATACATCATCAAATAATCTTTCGTCATCGTCATCAACAAATGGTACAATTGTAAATGGTCAACAAGTTGATCCAATTGATTTACAAGCATTTGAATCATATTATCATGGTCGTTCATTAAATGATGAACAATTATTTTTAGTTATTTATATAATTGATACATTTCGATATGAATTAATGGGATCATCAAATAATGATAATGATGATATTCATATTGATGATACAATTGATATTTATGTAAGAAAAGCAATTTTTCGTGCTTATTTAGATCTTATTAAAGATTTACCAGAAAAAATTACTCTTCGACTTAATATTCAAGTAAAGTTCTAATATAAAAATAATATTTATTTATTTATTTATTCTATTTAATTTTATTTAGATTGTTCCATTTGAATCAATAGTCAATCAACAAATGGAATCTGATGCTGAACTTCGTTTAACACGATTAAAACGTTTTTCATTTCATGTTTATGATCAATTACGACAAACTGTTTCACATACAACACGTGCAAAATCTTTAACTGGTTTTGGTCCAGCTATATCAGAAGAAAAAATGCAAACAAAAATTGTAAAACTAACATATTTTCATATAGAATTTTGAAATATTCATTTGTTGTTTTGATTTTTTCAGGTTATGCAATTGTATACACCAGCATATATTCTTTCACCTAAATCAGATTTTCGTTTTAAACCATTTGCTGATATAACAGAACAATCAAATATAAATGGAAGTATTTTATTTTGTTCATATTGTCTATCAGATGATCAACGATATCTTTTGGCAGCATGTTCTGATGATCGAGGAGAATTATTAGAAACATGTTCAATTAATATTGAAGTACCAGATAGGTAAATAATAGAAGACAAAATAATTATAAAAAAAAAACTGTTTTGAATATCATTCGGTCTGATTTAGGAAAATTTTATTTAAATACATCATTAGAAAGAACATTGAAAACTGTATATCGCTGTTATCGAAATGATTCGTTTTAGTAGAATTGTAAGCAATTGAGTAAATTTTACTATCGAACTGAACGATTATCTTAGTGCGATTCAATTCTACAATGCAACTTCAAAACTTAGAATTTAATGTATTTTGTAGAGTAGATTTTAGAGTTTCGAACAAGACCGAACTGCTTTTCATATAGCAAACTATTCGATCGGTACGATGCTTTCCATTTTCATCGATGTTTTCTAGCTGAAGGCACTGTATCAAACTAAAAGCATCGCACCAATTGAATACATAGAAGACAACTCGATTGTATTTGCAAGTAAAAACGTCTGCTCTATAAAATACATTAAAACCTAAGCTTTGAAGTTACGCTGTGGAATTGAATCGTTTAAAAGCGACATACAGTTTTCAATGCTCTTTTTAATAGTCTGCTTAAACTTTTATCTATTACACAAAAAATATTTTGTGTGATAAAAATTCAAATGACTAAACTTGAGACAAAAATTTATATTTCAGATTTTTAATCCATGCTGAGAGAAAAATGTTCACAAAACAAAATTTTTTTAAAACTTTCATTATCTACTTTAGACATAAAAGAAAAATTCAACATGCTCGACGAATTGGTTTACAAAAATTATGGGATTTTATAATGCGTATTGTTACAGGTACAACAATGCCATGGAGAATTGTTATTGGACGATTAGGAAGACTTGGTCATGGAGAATTAAAAAGTATAATTAAATCAAAAACAAAAACAAAAAAAAGACTATGAAAATTTCTATTTTTATTATTGTTTAGATTGGGGAGTAATATTATCAAAAAAGAATCTTGTCCGTTGTGCTACATTAATACGTGAATCATGTTCAATGTGTCATATTTTACGTAGTCATGATCATCCAGTTATATTATCAGCATGTTTAATATCTATGGAAACACATCCATTATTAACTATTCTACCAGAATCACTTGAACTTGGAGAAATGCGTGGAACACAACCATCAAATAATAATACAACAACAATGCAAAATAGTGGACAAGTTTTAAGTGATGTTTCAGTAACACATATTCTTACATTACCAACATCAGCATCTGTACAGGTTAGATAATTTAAATTTACTATATTTTTTATATCATAAAAAGGCAATTCAATAGAAAGTTTACAATATTTATTATAATAAAACATTTTTTTCATTACGAATTTGTTTTATTTTTGTCATATAGCATGTACAAGCCATTCCTCGACCAAATGATCCTCGTCAATCACCAATCTATAATGAAGATGATTTATTTAATTCAATATTTGAAGGATTTGATACTGATCCATTTGGTCCTATGCAATCACCACCACCAGATTTAGAATTTCCACCTACTGGTGTACTTGATATAAATCATAATGGAAATCCAAATGGACCTATGAGTCGTTTAAATAGTTTATCTATATCACAACATAATTATAATGGAAATGATCTATATGGAAATTCTTTACATAATTCAAATATAAAATCAAATTCATTACTTCATTTAGATTCTGAAGTTGATTTAAATGATATACCATCATTACATCAACAACCACTTGCACTTGGTTTTTATGTTTCAACAATAGGTACATTAAATTCTTTACCAATATGGATGTTACAAGGAAAATCAAATCAACGATTAAATAATACATCAAGTGTATTTAAAGCAACATTACATGTTAGTGTACCTAATGCTCAACATTCAGATGATATGTTATTTGCTCAAAGTCATGATCAAAAATCCATTCATCCACTTGATTCAAATTATACATATGTTGTACTTAGGTATAAAAGTTCTGTTCTATGTTTTTCTTTTTGTCTCTAGAATTATTTATTTTTAGACATGTCCTTGAATCTTATAATCGTTTGTCGTGGTTATTAATAGATGCTAAAACTAATGAACGTGCTAGTTGTTTACCGATTCATATGGAAACATTATTAAAATTATACCATGCTTTTATTAAATTTGTATGATTTTGAACTTTCATCTTTTCTTTATTTTTAGCCATATTAGCATATCATACGTGATCTTTTATTTATTCTTCGTATTATATTGAATTAAGAAAAAAAAAAAAATGAAGAAAATCTCTCATTCGAATTTTTTTCCTTGTGTGTATGTGTGTTTTATGCGCTCATTCATTTTCTTATTGTTTTTTTCCTTCGAAACTAAAACAAGAAACAGTTGTGCATTGTTATTTTTTGTCATTAATTGTGATCTGACATGTTCGTGAAATATACAAAAGAGAAAAAAAACAATTCGCATATATATATATTTATTTATTTATTTTTGCGTTCTTTGTATATTTGTATATTGATTTTTTTTTCTTTAGTGTGACCATTTCTACTTGCTTAACTATGCTTTATTTTTGTCTTGAGCAATGTTTATTTGTTTTCTCATGGTGAACATGCAGAAGCAGTGATTGTTTTCTGTTTTTCTTTTCTTTTCTTTTCTTTTCTTTTCTACTATTATTATTAACCTTACTTCCGCCTGTCCATGTCTTCTATCAGACAGTTGCTTTGTTTTTTTTTCTTATTTAAAGTAAAACAAAAACCTATCGTTTAAAAGCGAACTTGAAAACTTGGTCTGCTTTTCTATTTCGAAATGGTAAATAATATAATTGAATCATAATTATATAATGACATTTAACTTATTTCGTTGATAATAGAAGTCAAATTTTAGATGGTAACTTTGTCATATACAAAGCTGTGCAACTCAGGTGTTTTTTAAGTCATTAGTCCATCACTTATTTTGTTGGATGAAGTAAAACAATCAACAGGCATCAAAAATTTAAACTCACTTTTGATTTCAACGAAATATTTTATCGATTATTCATATTTTGCTACTAATACATTCTACAAATGTTTCAGAAAATCTGGACGATTGTTTGACAATCATCAAGTCATAATTGGTTGTTAATTTTCGAATGCGATCTACCAGATCGAGTGCGAGACCAATCCGATGAGCTCTAGTGTCGTGTCTGTTCTGTTAAATACAAAGGGCAGGAATGGATTAGCTGGCGAATCCGTTCTATTTGAAAATTATAAGAAAACGATTCATTAATTATTTATGTTTAGATAGAGAATTAGTTCAACTATCTAACTGTATAATAGTTTTCGTCAACGTATTATTTTTTCCACTAATTCGGCCCTATGTATAGTAAGTGTACATGGGATATATAAGTCGTAGCATGTAGAACAACTTCAGAGTTGAGAAGTGTGCTACAACATCAGTCGAAGAAAGTACTAGAGTGTGGGTTAGGGTCTTCGCTTCGCCCTCACATATCCTCTTCCTCACTCTCGTATCCTAGTCGAAGAAGACGCAATATTTCTACAAAAGGCTAAACAGACCATTTCTCAATTTGAAAGTACACATATTTTCAATGCCGACCAAAGTGCTTTCAATCATGAAAAACTTTGCACATGTGCACTTTCCCATGTGGGTGAAAAGTCAACTTTAGGTCACGGCATCTCGCATAGGGCCATCACAAACTCGTATACAATAATGTCTATTCTGAGCCTGGCTGACAAAATTGTTGGGCCAGTTTTTGTCTGTTTACAGGGATCTTCAGGAAAACTAGGATCACGAGTATCACAGACAATGAACAAAGCTCGAAACATTCATATCACATGTAGTAAATCAGGAAAACTGACGGAATCTCATATTCAGTATTGGGCAAAAGCAGTTTTACAATCATCTGTGGATGAAAACTACACATTGTTTTTGGATTCCTGGTCTGAACAAACCGATTCTGCAAAATTTGGATGAAATATTCGACGAGAACATTGAATATGAAGTTTCGCAGATACTGCATAAAACAACGGCAGACAGTCAATCCTGCGACAAGTATTTTTTTTCCGACAATGGAAATATCTCTATCAAATGTGTTTTAACCATGTAACAATCGATCAACTTAAAGTTGACCTACTATCGAGACCTCATATTTTGAAGTTACGCTCTCTCCTCCAATGATTAAGCATGCCTGGTACTCGTGTGGATGTACCAATCAAGATTCCGGAATATTCGAAAATGTTCGAGATATTTGCTTTTCCTTCGACGACGATAGCTGTTTTATGGCTGGCTGTAACTTACAATAAAAAAGTTTTATCTTCTCTTTTCTTCAGATCTAAACGGGGACAACTAAGATATTGATATGAGAGATATTCATCAAGGTTTCTACAAGATAGAATATTTTTAAACTCGATCTCAAGGGAATACTCAAGTATGTTTTCTCGTGAGATTTAAACGTGTTAAAGATATTACATTCCATAATGTATTTGGTAAAATTGTTAATTGATTTTGTTTTAATGAAAGAATTTTCTATATGAATTAATGATGATAATTGTTCATTTGAGGGAATAAATAAGTTGATTATTATTAAAATAAAGATTTTGAAGGAATGAACAGAAACTAACAGATAATAGAACATCACGTAATGAACGATTACTTCAATTTAAACTTGTTTCTTTTGTATCAACTATATTTTGAACGTATTTTTCAATAGCATCATCATCATCCATTTTTTGGATTCAAATATCAGATCTAGAAATAGAATTTTTTAGATTATAAAAGCTCATATGGGAAGAACAGATAGCTACATGATGTTGAGTATTTGTTTGATGATGATGATGAATGTGTGAGAAATATTTTTAAGAGAACGATCGATTTTTCCTGAACAGTTTGAAGATCCTGAAAATGCGACGATACACAACATAAGTGAGAAAGGAGTAAACAAAGGATTTTATAAATTACAAATAATGAAAGGGATAGAAAACAGATGGCGACACATACTCATCTGTTTAATCATCATTTTCTTTGAACACTTTGATAAATTTTTGTATTATAAAACAAAATTCAGTATTTTCAAGATATGTAAATGTTACTTAAGAAAGAAATTGAGATATCTAAAAATCTTTTTCTCAGACTCATGTATTCTATGGTCAGAAAAATATGCAACGGAATTTATATTACTGATATTAAAGGTATATTAATCATTTATCTTATAAAACTGAAGATCTTGCTTTAATTTATTGCCAGCAATTGCTCTCAAGAACTTCTTTTTCTACAAAGTCGTGAAAATTTTATACATTCTTTAAAAAAAAAAGAAGTTCGATATTCCTTTTACGCACGTGATTATAATCAACATAGAGAAAGCAAGAAAAGAAAAAAAAAAGAACATTAACAATATATGGGAGTCTCTATTTACTCTAGATACTATGAAAAAAACAACACTCTAGAGCTTTGTTCAGAGGAGTTATTAACGAAAAACTAGCGTTAGCGACGTGACACCAAAAAGGACATCAAAAGTCACTTGATATACTTTGGTTTTTAAAAATTTCTAAGTGTTGCACAATTGTCAAAAACTTAATACGCGATACTAGACACCACTCCTAAGGCCACCAAATCCCAGTGTAAAATTATTTTGAGAATGTTTAGGTTTTTAAAAAAATAAAATCTATTTGGCGTTAGCGACGTGACAACTTTGTTAGCGACGTGACTGAGTACGACTACACTACTGATCGAATGCTCTGGTAACGAACTGAAAAGTTCGACATCGATTCCAAGGGGCTCATATTAATGGTACGAGGTCCTAGAATAATACTAAGACAAACATTTCCATTTCCGCTCTGTCTAAGGGCTCTGAAAGGTCGATTTTTTGGAAGGAACTTTTTGAAGTCCGATCTCGATGAAAATTTTACCATATATGCGGCTCATACCCTAGAGCCAATCCTGAAGTTTTCAAGTTTTTTCCTCATTCGGTTCTCGAGATATTCGCTAATTACTTCTTAATTAGTTAATTATTAATTAATTAATTAATTAATTACTAATCATATGAAAGAGCAGACAATTTTACATAAGCCTATGCAAAAACAATTCACTCAAAACATCTATACTGATAGAGAATTGCATTCAAATGCAATGGGGGAATGTCCCGTTTTCGCTGATTTTACCCATATAAGAACCATGTGTTCACTATCGATTATTATTTTTTCTATTTGTTCTTCAGTATATAATATGTCGTTTCAATATATTACTGTACAACAATTCTTCGGTAATTCATATGTGTATCCTTCTTCATCGTTATCTGTATCAAGTATCGCTGCTGCAAATACAGATCCTTTGTTAATATCTGATGTTCGACGAATTTTTGAAGGTAAACGTGTTGTTTTTGCTGGTGATTCTGAAGTTAGACCGATATATCATGATATGGCAACATTTTTAGTTAACGGTCATCGTTTATATTCTACAGATATTACTGTTCAAAATAGTGAAAACCTTTACTCGTATAGTGAGCAATTTAAATGTGTTTTTTTTCTATAAAACATTTGTTGTTATGTTATTCTTTGTAATTTAGACAATGAATGTCGTGTGCGTGCTGATGGACGACCAGGTATGTCAAACTACGTCGATGAACATATGTGTCAGTGGTCACCGTCATCATCAATTCATTACATCTATCTTGCTTCGCTTGATTGTCATGAATCAAATGAACTTCTCCGTTTCGTTCAATGTGCTGATTTAGTTGTATTTTCATCAGTAAATGGTGATATGAATTGGTATATATTTTGTGAAACAC